CCAGACGCCTCTCTGGGCATATTAAATATATATTCTATTTTTTCAAATATTAAAGATAAAATTAATATAAGGCACGGACACGAATATGTATTTTTTTATTGCAGGGGAATGAAAACAATGCTTGTCGCGGTATAATGACGTCGCGTTTAGTATCATAACACGCATGCGCTTTTGCGTCTTGCTGAATGGAAACAAACGAAGTTCTGCCGTATGTGCATTTCTTACATTAACATTATACAAATACAAATTTTGCCCTTAAAATAAGTGTGTTAATATGACCGTTTAGGTATTTTTGCACGCTTTAAAGAATAAGTTTCTATGTCTAATGTCAGCAAGTTTTCAGGCAGCATTAACGTTACATACATAATTGTAAACAGCCTTTACTGCTGCTGCTTCATTAACATCTATCTTTGTCTTATATTTAATTAAGAAAATGTCCAGTAAAGAAGTAAAAGCTGAACTAAAAAGTGCTAGAGAAGCCATCAAAAATAAAGAGTTTAAAGAAGCTTTGAAACATTGTAAGGTAAGTGTTTACTTCCACCTGTCAGCATACAGTACATAACATATATCTCTGTAGACATGTAGATAGGCTTCCATCTCATACTTTTCTCTTGATTGACTGTATTTGCATGGGTGGGTAAGTTAAACATTTCTCTCTCAAGTTAAACTATATTTGTGCACCCAGGCTGTTCTCAAACTTGAGAAGAATAACTATAATGCTTGGGTGTTTATTGGAGTGGCAGCTACAGAGCTGCAGCAGCCGGATCAGGCTCAGACCGCCTACAGAAAGGCCACTGAACTGGAGCCAGAGCAACTGCTTGCATGGCAGGTCAGTCATGGTATATAAACTGTAATGAATAGTCCAAATGTAGTGTTTATCTAGGGACATAGTTTGTTAACTATTTGTCTTGATGATATTGAGCACTGCTGGACCCAGCAATGAATATTTACTAGATGTGGATTTCTTTTACAGGGTTTAGCAAATCTGTACGAAAAAAGTGACCAAGCAGATTTCAAAGCTGAGC